GATGGGGCGACAGAGTTGCGGACACGGAAGTGTTGCGTAGAAGTGGAATATATGCAGTGGACTGCATACTTTTGATGAGACATCTGAGGTGGCTCCGTCATGTGAGCCGTATGGATTCGACGCGGATACCGAAACAACTATTATATGTTCAGCTGAGTATTAGGAAGCGGCATGCGGGGACACCAAATTTCCGTTACCAGGACATGATCAAAGTGAGCCTTTCACGTTCTACTCTTGATTGCATGTCATCGGAACCGAAGGCGGTTGATCGGCGTGCATGGCGCGATCTGGTCACGAAGACAGTTGCCGAAGTGCGGGAGAATGACCTCATGCATGCAGAGAAGAAGCGGCAAGTGCGGAAGTGGCAAGCATCAATGGGTTGTACTCCATCGACATCGAGCGCATGGTGCTGTAGCACATGCGTTCGCAAGTGCCTGAGTCAGGCAGGCCTAGTGAGCCATGAGCGAGGCCACTCGGGACCACCACCGAAGCGACGACGTGTCCTGCAGAGAACGTAGGCAGAACCGGCGCAGCGTTTGTAGGTACGCTGCATTCGATTTACTAATCGCGAGGTTGCATGCTAAATCATTTTATTTCAGGTGGTGTGTTTTCAATTTTGTCCCAATGATTTTTTTCGCATATTATTGGCTACCTGTACTCTCTTTCATAAACTTGCACACGTGCCAAAAGCTAATTTTATTGAATTTTGATAACATTTTTGCGTTTGTGACATTTTCTTAAATATTTTTTGTTCTCTTGAACTTATCCCCATTTGTTCATAACCAATTCATTTTATGCGCTTAGTTTGTGAAGAGTTGTGTCACCAATATTTTTAATTTCATCTTATCGTACTAAGTGATTGTCTGTTGCTTGATATCCCCGGTGTGGCTGCAATTGATGTGCATGTTGACAATGTGCCTACCTGTCTGTTACCCACTACCTCGTCCATACTGGATCTAGGGGACATTTGGTCGTTGATGTAGGGGCGGGGTGCACGGTCCTTATGACGGTGTTACGTTCAAACAGTAATTCCGTGCGATCAGTGTGCAGCGGACTACGTTCCTGCCACCACCTTGCGTGCGATTGATTCCCCAAATGCAGCATGCCATTTTTTACCTGTGAAGGGGTGTGTGCCGGCTCCGTTGATGAAACGTGGCTCCCATCCACATGCCTCCCGGTATTATTCCTTCGGGTTTACACTGGATATGGGAAGTGTGGATGGAGCTGTGGGTTGTGCAGCGCCAGCCATCCATGGTCCCTCTGTAGGCGCAGGCGTCCTGTGTCTGGAAATGGTGACAATCAAATCCGAAACGGGATTCCGCCATATACAGATATATATATATATATATATATATATGTGTGTGTGTTTGTGATTGTATGTGTGTGGGAACGCCTATGGTACCCTGTGCTGGTGGTGGCTAAATCCTGGCGGATGGTCTGGCTACCGCTGCTACTGTCATGCCGTGGGTTCATGTCCTGGACGCCTCCTCGTCGCGACCGCTGGATGTGAGTTGTGTTGCACTCTTCTCCCTGCTATTATCAAGGCCACTAATCCGATTGGGTAACTGAACTGATCATGTGCTAGCCCCGCTGTTTTTAGGGCGTACATTTACTCCCAATCTTTAGCTGAGGACCCTATTCGTTCTCCTGTCTGGTGTGGGCCCCCTGCCCGTCTCCTAATCTATCCTCTTCTGAGGCTTGGAAGTGGTCGATAGCCCTCTTTCCGCAAAACCTAGTCATGGGAGACAACAGGTCTACGGGTTATATGCCCACCGCTCGATTGGCGTAAAGCACGTGCGCCACGCATTATCTCTGACGGTGGGAGGGCATCTCCGGGTGCTTAAGGGTTTGCTACGGCCCACCTCAAACCATGCAACCACTGGTCCATTTTGGGCAAACTCTCGAGATCCCATCTGTCTCTGGCCGTGGTTGCAGGTTGGTTTCCTATTACGGTCGCAAAACATACATGAATCGTTCCAATACCTCAAGGGCTGTGTGTGATTCCGTCAAGCAGATCCCAAACTGTCTCTGCAATCAGATTCCCGAGATGGATCTGCTTCCCACTGCTATGTGGGTCAGGCTATTTATCCAATGGCTCCGGGCGGAGTCCCTCAATCAAGCCTCCAAATCAACCGCTGCCTTGTGGATCAGGCTATTGAGCTAAAGGCTCCGGGTGGAGTCCCTCAAGCAAACCTCCGAAGCACAACCGCTACTTTGCGTACGATTGCCCACCTATGCATTCGTATACCTGCGCGCAAAGCACTCAGCATCGGGTGCTGGGACGTGCGCACACTACTGTACCGGAACTCGAGTGAGCGCCCGAACGACGCACTGCACTGGTCGCGATGGAACTGGCGCGCTACCACGTCGATATTGCGGCGCTCAATGAGACGGCTTGTGGCCCACATCGTCGCTACTAATGGTCGTGTTGCTCGTAATAGTTTTGGGCAGATAGCGACCTCATATACGCAACGACAACTGAATGATGCTTGGCCGAGACCATTATTTATGGGCAAAGGAAACTATCACAATTTCGCCCTATGTACAACGTTAGATACGCTCAAGCAATCACTGGGTTTGGCTTGTGGAGACCTTACGTCATCTTGCCATAAGTTTGGAGCCCTGAATTTAGCCAGGCGCCGTGATCTGATTAGAGGTAAGCGCGGCTGTTGCAGTCGTCTAGTGTTTGGTCGTGGCGCTGCCTTTTCAGCAAGAGTTGCTGCCCGGCCGCATGCACGATGCGATATCACTCTCTGTTACATGACGAGTCAATGCGGTGACTTCCAAGAAAGAACCGAGCCACTGCCACAATATTTACAACACTCCAGGAAACGTCTCGCACAGGATGGTACCTGTGCGCTTGATGGGCCCCTTGCGATCCATTTAGATCTATGCTTTAGCAAATAGTGGTTTCGATGTGAGGCTGGTACATGGAGATATTCTACGGGAGGCTGGAGTAGAGATCGAGTCTGCTTCCTTGGAAGCGCAAATAGTGAACACCCGTAGGTCTTGCTTGCGGCACAGTAGCTGAGGTGTTCTCCACCTCCAGCTAACGTGTATGATGATGATGACGTAGGTCTTGCTATTTTCTGATTGTTCTTTCAGCGCGGCCTCGATAGTATTGTTGTAGATTATGCATATTGTTTACGTCACCTTCCATTGCAATCAGTGACAGTGCCTGCCATTTAGTTAGCTGAGCGGTGACCATATTTGGTGGATATCAAATTCGATGATTTGAGAGACATCAAGGTCAGGATACTCCTATGCCAGCTGTTCCCCTACCTCACTGACAGATTGAACGATGAGATGCCGGAAGAAAACGCCTTTTTGCTGCAAAAACTCTACTTGGTTGGATATTGTTTGGACACGTTGGTCGGAGTATTCAGCCTTATGCCACCGTGAAGTGTGTACAGACAGATGATATGCCACTCGAGCAAAACTTTTCCCTTCTACTACCGCCACACTTCTGGGGGCACATCTGCCTGTTTTTAGGCTCCCGAATAAGTGATACAAAGGAGTAGTAAGGTTGGAATAGAATAGATAGAATTTCATCACTTCTAGACTCAATCAGACAGTCATTACACCCCGGAAAAGCACTGCCCACCTGTTTCATCCTTCAGGGAATCGTCATTAGTGCGCGTTCCACTCGGCCCCTTCGGGGCTAGAACCTGCAATCCGATTGTTACCAGTCCGCGATTGAGGACCGTTGGGCTACGGGGGACGGTGACTACCAGCGTGACCAAATTACTAGATGTGATATAGCGCCGCGGGTTGGGGGCTATCCTGTCCTCTGCATGGCAGTAACGTGCAAGTCAGTGGATATTGATTGGCGCTATATCACATGTAGTCACTTAATCACCTCGGTCGTTACCGTCTTTCGCAGCCCAGTGGTCCCCATCACGGACAGACAGGTTGCGGGTTTTATCCCCAAAGATGCCAGATGGAATGCGCATTAGTGACGGTTCCCGAAAGGATAAAATAGCTGTACTGTGCTTTTACGGGTGTGGGATGGATGTCTGACTGAGTCTAGACGTGCTGAAATTTGACTTCATATTAATGGTAGCTGACTTGAACGTTACAATTATGCCACGAATTGTTAAGGACTCCATCGGTACATCTTGAGCATGGGTGCCCTGGGAAGTAGCTGGTAGTGGCAGCCTACTATCTCCACATTTCGCGAATTGGGCCACCTTTACTGGATATCCGAGTCTTACTTGATCCTTTGCTATTTGTTCGTATAAAAGAGTACTACTTCATCACATCGCAGACACTTCATGTTGGCTAAAAACATGCACAAATCGGCGTGGGGATATCGAACTCACTCCCGCTAGCTATTTGTACTCGATAGTGCTTTGCATCTCCTTTTGCGTCCGGAGTGCTCAATGTATGCGCCATCTTTATATTAACCGTTATTTACTCTAAAGTAGACCTCTTTACCCATCACAGTTGTTTCGTATGTGAGAGTTTTCGGTGCTTCTTACCCTTACGATGGCCACCCTTGTTGTCCCTGTCTGAGCACTTCTAATCGTAGTGTTGTGAGTCTGTTCGCTGATTGACGTTTCTATCACACAGTTGATCGGTTATTAGAGCACGTACTAGTTTGGTCCTGGATTGCTATATCGAAGATGAACTGCGTTGGGACAGGTATGATCTGTCTTTCGCCTAGGCTGCATTTTTTCCCACCGTAATTCTTCAGCTGCACGAGGAAACTCAAAACACGGATGCGTTTTGTTTCATTTGAAGTGTAAATCACGATATTAACATTAGAGGAAATTCGTGTGAGGTGAACTCGCCAATTATTGCTTTTGTGACTAAACCTCATCAACCAGCAAAGAAAAGTTGCATGTTCCGTTATTTGTCCTTTTTATATCTTTTAAGCTTCTCTTATGCATTGTGTTACCAGTCTACGATCAAATACAACATGGTACGCACACTTTTATCAACGCGACCTAAGTGATTGCCGCTCTCACCTTTACATGTACAAACAATATCAGACTTACGTTTTTTGGCTTTTCCTTTTCCCTTGATATCTTTGCTTCCTTTTCCCGGTTGCTCGATATCCGATCTCAGATCATCTCCGGATTTGAGCAGTATTTGCTGTAACCAAATAAAGAGAAAATCGACTGAGCTGTTTGCTTAATTCGTCCTGCAGTAGCGCGGACAATGTGCATCTGAGCGACTGAGAACACTCGTACATCCTCATCCTGTGCTTATACGAGCACCTTTACTCCCAAACGAACACGACTACCACGCCAACTTGTCATGTTCAGTAGCGGTGTTGCCGTTTACATACTCACGCGAATGCATACACGTGAGCTAACATGATAAAGCATACCCAATCTGTAACTCGATGAGACGCCCTGAGCACATCGTCGATGTGACATTTTCGGGTAACATCCGACCCCTTAACCGGGACTATTGAATGAATAGAGATTGAAGCCCAGTTCGAACATTTGTACGAGCAATAGTCCAGTTTGACACCGGTCACCGACGATGCATACGGTTGGTTTAAGGCTAAGGCAGTGGACAGCTAACCAGTTTTGCGTTGCTGAAACAGAAAGATGCGGCATTTTAACAAAGGAACACTGGGAATCATTGAAGAATCTACGCCAGAAATAGAACGTGGTAATAACAAAACCTGACAAAGGATAGGGAGTGGTCATTATGGAAAAACGAGATTATATTTGGGATAATGCATGCGATACTTGCAGACACTAGCTGCTTCGTTCGCGACCTCACGGGTCACGATAGAACCGAACACTTTGAAAGATCCATAGTTCGTAAACTTAGCAAGTTACTGAAGGCTGGATTGATTGATACGAAGACCATGACACAACTGCGTCCTTCTGGGGCCCGACTTCCCCATATGTATGGTTTACCGCAGACACACAAGGAGGGCATTCCGATCATAACAATGGTAGACGCGCCATATGTTAAGCAGGTACGTTGGCTAACCGAGCTGATAGAACCTATCCGATGTGTGCTAGCCGGGTTTACCCTCAAAGATACGTTTCAGTTCGTCGACAAAATACGGGGTTTAAACGTAGATGGGAAATACATGGTCTCTTATGACGTATGCTTACTTTTCACCAACGTCCCATTGAAAGAGACGTTAGACATCATCAGTGCTTATGCTGACAAAGTTGGGTTTCCAGCACATTCTCTCAAGTCTTTATTCTGTTAGTGTACCAAGGACAACGAAACATTATACCGTCAGATCGATTGCGTAGCCATGGGTAGTCCACTTGGGCTAGTCCTGGCTGACATTTTCATGGGCCACTTGGAGCACACGAAACTACGTCCTTACATAGAAAATATGCACATGTACAGTAGATATCTTGACGGCACGTTCGTTGTAGTTGATAGCCCTCAACAGGCAGAACGGTTACTTGAAGTTCTAAATAAATGCCAACCTGCGATCAAATTCACCATGGAAAGCGAGGTGGACAACACCTTCCATTTCTTAAATGTACACCTAGAGAAGAATGCAGAAGGCACACTCACTCGATCTGTGTATCGAGAGCCTACTTGTACAGGACAATATTTGAACTTCAACAGGTTCTGTCCTATTAATTACAAACGAGCATCGGTCCGCTCTGCCTATGCAAGAGCTCGTAAAATTTGTCATGAAGATACGATCGACAGTGAACTAGAACGCGTGTAATCAACACTACAGGAAAATGGATACACCGCGAGATGCATCGCTCGGTATGCAAGCACAAAAAATAGTAAGAAGCCTTTTTATATGTGCCCCCAAGAAAAAAGTGTTCATTACGCTGCCATTTAAAGGCGATCAAAACGATAGAAGATTCCAGCATCGTCTCCACCAGGCAGTTGGGAAATGTTATTACGTGGCCGAACTGGTGTTATTTCATCAAGTTAGGAAGTTGCTCTGCAATTTCAACTTGGACAAGCCACACGCTCACATTACCGCCTGTTGTGTTTATCTATTCCACTGTACTTGTGATAGCAAGTTCCTTGGCCGAATCGAGATGAGACTATCGACTAGGCTTTTACAGCACCTTCCACGAAATATGTTCGCTAACGGTCCCAGACTACCGGCTAGCTCCATTGCTCAACACCTCCTGGATTGTACAATGTGCTAACGTCCTCGTGATTTGTTTAAAGTAAGTAACATACAGTGTAATGCCCGATTGCTTTAGTTAGTCGAAGCCTCAGCTATTCGGCGGCTTAAGCCCAATTTGTGCAAGCAGACTGAACTTACGGCTAGCCTCGCTGCAAGGAAGATCTGTTGTGAGTATTACGAGGAGTATGAGTTCAATACTTACTACGTGGTTGCCACGCTGGACTTTAAATACCTACCTCTTTGTGCAACGTTGCTATGAAGAACCCATTTGAATCTTGTGAGGGTTTGACACGAATTGTTCTGTTTTTCATTATAATACTTGGCTTTCCTGCTTCGAATGCCTCCCGCTCTTCTTGCAAGCCGACAAACGTAGGTATTTGCGGATTAAACGCTGTTCCCGTCGATACATTTCTGCTCGTTGCTGCCAACAGCTCAGCTTCTCTCAGTAGTAAGCGATTCGTGGCTTCTGCAACTCGCAACACCAACCCGTCTGTCTCTTCTATGTCGTCCGAATGACTCAGAAGTGTCACCGTCCGGATTCCTGAAACTAAACAATTTAAAGGGAGGCACTCCAAACATGTGTGTTCCCGAACGTTTTGTTCGATATCAAACCATCTATTCCCTCGTAACTCTGAAGGAGAAGGTTTCTTCATTCTCTTTGAACATTTACTTCTCGAGAATTCCATAAGGTGCTTTTAGCAACGAAGGTTTACATGCACGACTATTTTTCTCTTCTGATTTAGTAATTCATTAGTTTTGTGCGTTGTTGTTAGTATTCATGTTTGAACCTAGCTAGATTACCAGCAGTAGGTTAAGGTGCATGTCGGTTTAGGATGAACCGAGCTATACTGAACAAGTTTAATCTGCTGATTATGGGTCTTACTACTGCTCTGTGGTACCTGAACGATTAAATTTGGCTATGCCAAACTTGCTTAGGATATAGTAGTCTCACACAGGTTCTTATATCCGTTATTTTTGTTCTTTCCTGAAGCTGCGTGTGTATTTTGCATATCTGTTGTCTCATGTGGACCGACCTGTAGTCTAACGGATCACAAGCCTGTCATGCAGACTGTAGGTCGCAGGTTCGAGCCTGCCTGGAGGACTGGGCGACACTAGCAGTCCCAAAAAAGAAAGTCATCAGCAGTACGCCTGCGCACTGTACCGACGCTTCGCTGCCACGCGACTATCACCGGTCGCTCGTGGGCTGACTATTCCGCAAGGACGCCCTCCTCTACGCGGATTCGAACTGGTAACCTAAGGATTGCAAGCTAGGCGTGCAGTCCTTTCGGTCACCGGCTTACACTCGCAGTATCCTTAGCCAACGCGCGACTGGTGGTGGTTGCGCGACAGCGAAGCGTCGGTGCTGCGTACCGACTCACTGCTAATACCTTCTTCGTGGGCTGGCCTAACAACGCTGTGTGACTGCCCTAACTTGGAGCTTAAAAAATGCTGACCTTAACGCACTTCATCACTCTGTCCACCCTAGCAACTTTTAAGTCAACATAAGCTACTCGAGTTATGAATTTTGCCGAATCCATCTATATCCGCTATCTGAAGCCGAGATTGTGTGCGAGAGAGCGATTGAAATGACCGATACTACTACCGTGACCAACACTGTTACTTAGCTGTCTGGTTGCTACCTGAAATATTTACTTCGGATTACTGAGGTTTGCTGTTTGACTTTTCTTTTTATTCGATTGGCCTACTATTTACAGCCAAGTCTTATGTTCTGTAGTTGACTGTTCACACAATTTAAACATCAGTCCCAAGTCCGATTTGACCCTTACCACTCATAATCAGCGCTATTTTAACCTTTGGATCCGGTGAGATTCTGCCCGAAAAGAGTTTTTGACCCTGCTGAAATTTATACCCTGAAATTTTGGAAATCGGCTACCAAGTCCTGAATATTTCTCCAGTTACATTACATTTTCCGATTGAAGAAGCACGAATACTCATTCTCATAACACATTTTTAGCTTTATTCGGCTCAGTTGGAGCTGACTTTCACTAGCTGTCGTATTCCACATCTCTTCCTCCAATGTCAGTTCAGCAAGATCATTGTCCTATTGGTGGAGGAGTATATTTGGGTTGAAGTAACTCTACATTGGCGCATGGTACCACTAAGTTGTTCGCATACAAACGCATTATTGTCATCAACATAGACTACCTCTCTCATGCAATATACCTCGGGTTCCGATGCGTTTAGCATGGGCTTGTTGACGAACTAATTCGAGGCAAATCGTCAGTGATCTTGTCCTAAAAAGCAATCTGGATGCCTTACTAAATACGGATAATATGTCACAATGTATGATTGCGTTTCCTTATGGTTCGTGTGGCTTCCCATAAAATAAAACAACACAGACGCTAAATAGTCTATTGGACGAAATGTGTCAGGAGGGATGTGTTTTCTCAGGAATTTCATGCAGCCATTTCCCTTCAAAAGATAGCAAGTACGAACAACATTTAGGCGGGATAACCTAAGTTCAGCGAGGGAATAATAGATGCAAAACTATGGCCGAACTCAGCCATCGGACCTTAGGATTTTCTTGCATGTATGGATTACCGAAAGTACACAAAGTGGGGATTCCTCTGCGCCCAAATCTTTCAATTGTTGAGGCGCCACCCCAGAAACCGCCACCATGTCGACCAAACTAATTGGGCCTATTCGTTTTGAGTTGACTCTACATAATATAAAAGACACTTCTGAGTTGTTAACAAAGTTCGGAATTTGGATGCTGAAAATAAGCACATGGTGTCTTTCGATGGCTGTTCCCTTCTCACCAACGTTTTGGACCAGCCCATATGCCTGCCAGCTGCGAACTCTCTGGGACGATATCCATCCGTTTCTGGAGACTCAGATGGTCTGTCTGTGTTACCTTCAACGGACACTATCAACCCGGTGTGCGACAACTCAAGCGAAGGAGGCGAACACAACGGAATAAGAAGCAGAGAGCAAATGCCAGCGACCAGTGGTGTTGCAACCTCATGATATTTCACGCACCTGAGTCAAGGGATACGATTCCTCAGGCTCGTTATGATCACGATGTAGAATTTCTACAGAGCCTGATTGATAGGCTCTTCGACGTGGGTGAACAGGGGTTGATGGGAAAGAAAATCACCCGTCTGGGAAAAAGAGAGGAGGGTACGATACGGCCTCTGTGAGTCAGCTTTGCAGATGACGCAAGTCCGAGGGTGGTACTATACCGCCTCGGTAGGATAAAAGCTGAAGAACCATCTTCGTCCATCTTTGGATCCGTCGAACGGAGAGAAACTGAAATCCGCTATCACTGGGTTGAAGCGGTTTACCTATTACGGAGAAAATAACCTCCGCATTGTAAATTTTCGGTTAGCTTCACGGGTCCCCCGAACCCGGATCAACAGGTCGATGACGCTTCATGCACACCCGGTGGTTCCAACTGCAGCCTGCACATGGCCTTTACAAATGTTTGTAGTTCAATGAACAAACGTGACGATCTATATCACTTCGTTGCCTCTCGTCGTCCGGACATACTGGGACTGGCCGAAACCTGGTTAAATTCTGGGCTCACTACCCAGGAATTCCAGCTTGATGGCTACTCGTGCTTCTGTTGCGAGAACTTATCAGACGAACGCGGTGACGTGCTGTTATTCATTTGCTTTTCGTTGTGCTGGAGACTGGTACGCACCTACCGCAGCGAAGATGACCTATGCGAGCAACTATTGTGCTCGATATGCCTGAGACAGGGTGAATTGTTTGTGGGTGAAACTTATCGTAGCGAAGTCTATGTCCGGATTGGTTCCTGCATGCCAGTAACTACATGAGTCGGCCCCGCTTTCTGTTTATGGGCAATTTTAACCCCTCGAATACTGTGGCCTGAGGCCCAACCTCCCCGCGCACTGGGAAATCGAAGCGCAATTTGCGGAGATGATATTTGAGACTGGGACAGCACAACACGTCTGCCAACCGACACGCTTTACACCATGGTGCTCCATCATGCACGGACCTACTATTTATCAGTTGCGAGCAACGTGTATATGAAATTCAGATCCTTAAGCGTCTGCTAACTAGCGACCACTCGATGGTTTTAGCCAACCTATAGCTGTTGCTACCCTACTCGCGTCTGCTGGAACCGTCCTACGATTAATGGGAGACGGACTTCGAAGGTCTCGATCGAGCCGCCAGTGAAGTGGACTGGTTGCTAACGCAGGATTCATTTATTGAAGCCTGTTGGTTTTTTATAAAAGGGTGTGCAATCGTTAGTCGCACGTTTTGTACTCCTCACATATATGAATGCTGAACCGATGAAACCACGTTGGTTCGACAGAGTATGGACAATTGGCTCGTTGGCGACGCATATTGTGGTATAAATTCCTCGTGTCTGGATCTGCCGACGATTATGAGGCGTACAAAAGACAACGGAATCTATGCAACAGCATCAAAGCGCGAAAGCGTCGGCAGTTCGAAGAGGAGCTTGCAACCTCAGCGAAGACTGCCCCAAGAAGATTTTTGCTTACATGAAGCGGCGCCTGAGGCCCGCAAGTGCCATAGTAGTGTTAGAGTGTTTTGACGGACAACCTCTGATCTCCAGCACTGAACGTGCGTCCGCATTGGCGGGGCACTTCGCTTCCGTATTTACAAGTGGGCATGCACCTATTCCGATCTCGTCAGTCTTGATGGTAGGAAACCTGTCGGACCCTATGGACTTCATCCGCTTACCTTAAAGTGCTTATCGGTCATCATCTTGCCTGCCATGACGGATCTGTTCAACAGCTCGCTGTCCGAGAGTGCATTGACGAGCGACTGGGAACGCTCGGTGGTAAAGCCGATTCCAAAAGGCGGTGACCCATGCAATGGGGATACTTACCGCTCGATTTATCTCACCTCTGTTTTGGCGAAGGTACTCTAGAAGATTGTGAAAAAGGGTCTTCTCTAGCTGTTAGACTCGAAAGATCTCCTAAATCCAGCACGGCACGGTTTCATGAAAGGTCGCTTGTGCATCACCAACTTGCTGTTGACGCATTAGGAACGGTTGCAAACTTTGAATCGGGGGAAATCAATGGATGTTATCTACATTGATTTCAGTAAAGCCTTCGATAAAGTGAACCAGGGGGTCCTGCTCCACAAGCTGATGTGTGGTGTTGGTGGCTCACTACACCAGTGGGTCAGTGACTTTATTATTGGGAGAAGATGGCGGGTTCAGGTGGATGACCACCTAACAGAATGGTACCCGTCCACTAGCGGCTTACCCCAAGGCATATTGCCGGGGGCAATTTTATTCCTGATCCAAATAAACGAAGCGCTTCAGTTTCTTCGATTGTCTTGTGCACTGTTTGCAGACGACTTAAAGCTTTCGAGGTTTACTGATTCTCCCGTCGACTTTAACGTCCTTCAGCAGGACCTCGACCGCCTATCCCGGTGGTCTGCAGAAGTTGACCTACCAGTCAATCTGACCAAGTCCTCGTTTATGAGTCTGAGGAG